GGAGGGGGCGTGGCTTAAGACTATATGAGAAGGGGCGTGGCCTTCCCGTCGTCGGCGCTCGCTATTGGCTCGCGCAGAGCCATCACCGCTTTGGCCCCGCCCCTCGGTGTATTCTCTCGGGGGGCGTGGCTTCCTCCTCCGAGTCCTTCGGGGGCGTGGCTTGGGCCTGTATGCGATAAGGAGGCGTGGCCTCCCCGCCGTCGGCGCTCGCTATTGGCTCGCGCAGAGCCATCACCGCTTTGGCCCCGCCCCTCGGTGTATTCTCTCGGGGGGTGTGGCTCCCTCCTCCGAGTCCTTCGGGGGCGTGGCTTGGGCCTGTATGCGATAAGGAGGCGTGGCCTCCCCGCCGTCGGCGCTCGCTATTGGCTCGCGCAGAGCCATCACCGCTTTGGCCCCGCCCCTCGGTGTATTCTCTCGGGGGGTGTGGCTTCCTCCTCCAAGTCCTTCGGGGGCGTGGCTTGGGCCTGTATGCGAGGAGGCGTGGCCTTCCTGGCGTCCGCGCTCCCTATTGGCTCGCGCGCTCGCTAACCCCGCCCCTCGGTGTGTTTCTGTTGCCGTGGCAACGCCCCGCCCCTCCAGTGTCCTGGGCTTTGGCCAGCACAGGCAGACATGGTGAGTGTGGGGTGGGAAAGGGGAAAAAAGTAACTTTTCCAGTCCGAGGCGAGTCCATCCATGCCAAGGGCCTTTAAAGGGAAAGAGTGGGAGTTAGAAAAGCCTAGTATCTGATTTATTTATTTTTTAAAATCAGAACTTAGAGAAGTTACTTTCAATGGTGGACTACAACTCCCAGAATCCCCTCTCTCATGGTCAATTCTGGGAAAGGGGGTTCAGACTGCTAGCATACGTCCACCTCCACAAAAGTTACTTTTTTTGGACTATCATAGAAACACCTATTGGGGATTCTGGGATTTGTAGTCCATATAGCACTGGTATAGGCCTACTTGGACTCTCCAGGTGTTTTGGACTCCAACTCTCATCATTCCTAACAGCCTCAGGCCCCTTCCTTTTCCCCCTCAGCCGCTTAAGCGGCTGAGGGGGAAAAGGAAAGGGCCTGAGGCTGTTAGGAATGATGGGAGTTGGAGTCCAAAACACCCGGAGAGGCACGTAGACTTTTAATTACCCAAATTAAAATAACAGTGGGGTTTCGACTCCTAAAGCCACCCTGTTTGGGGGAAAGGGAACCTAAAAGTAAAATATAGTAATATGCAGATAGAAAGGATTAGCTGCCGACCTCTATTTATGTATGTATGCAGTGCTTGGATGCATCCACAAGAGGGCAGCGTATCAATAGAAAGGATTAGCCTCCAGATATGTATGTGTGCAGTGCTTAGATGCATCCACAAGAGGGCAGCGTATCAATAGAAAGGATTAGCCTCCAGATATGTATGTGTGCAGTGCTCAGATGCATCCATAAAATGGGAGCATATAGATAGAAAGGATTAGCCTCTAGGGTTGTATATCTGCAGTTTTCAGATGCTTCCACAAGAGAGCAGCCTATTGATAGAAAGGATTAGCCTCCAGATATGTATGGATGCAGTTTTCAGATGCATCCACAAGTGGGCAGCATGTAGATAGAAAGGACTGGGCTCTAGATATCTATGCATTCAGTGCTCAGATGCAACCACAAGAGGACAACATATAGATAGAAAGGATTAGTCTCTAGATATGTATGCATGCAGTGCTCAGATGCATCCACAAAAGGGGAGCATATAGATAGAAAGGATTGGCCTCTAGGTTTGTATTCATGCAGTGCTCAGATGCAGTCACAAAAGGGCAGCATGTAGATAGAAAGGATTGGGCTCTAGATATGTATGCTTGCCGTGCTTACATGCATCCACAAGAGGGCAGCATATAGATAGAAAGGATTGGCCTCTAGGTTTGTATGCATGCGGTGCTCAGATGCATCCACAAGAGGGGAGCATATCCATTGAAAGGATTAGCTTCTAGATTTGTATGCATGCAGTTTTCAGATGCTTCCACAAGAGGGGAGCATATAGATAGAAAGGATTAGTCTCTAGATATCTATGTATGCATGCAGTGCTCAGATGCATCCATAAGAGGGGAGCATATAGATAGAAAGGATTAGCCTCTAGGTTTGTATGCATGCAGTTTTCAGATGCAGAGAGCAGTCTATTGATAGAAAGGATTGGCCTCTAGGTTTGTATTCATGCAGTGCTCAGATGCAGTCACAAAAGGGCAGCATGTAGATAGAAAGGATTGGGCTCTAGATATGTATGCTTGCCGTGCTTACATGCATCCACAAGAGGGCAGCATATAGATAGAAAGGATTGGCCTCTAGGTTTGTATGCATGCGGTGCTCAGATGCATCCACAAGAGGGGAGCATATCCATTGAAAGGATTAGCTTCTAGATTTGTATGCATGCAGTTTTCAGATGCTTCCACAAGAGGGGAGCATATAGATAGAAAGGATTAGTCTCTAGATATCTATGTATGCATGCAGTGCTCAGATGCATCCATAAGAGGGGAGCATATAGATAGAAAGGATTAGCCTCTAGGTTTGTATGCATGCAGTTTTCAGATGCAGAGAGCAGTCTATTGATAGAAAGGATTAGTCTCCAGATATGTATGCATGCAGTATTCAGATGTATCCATAAGAGGGCAGCATATAGATAGAAAGGATTGGCCTCTAGGTTTGTATGCATGCAGTGCTCAGATGCTTCCACAAGAGGGCAGGATATAGATAGAAAGGATTAGCCTCCAGGTATGTATGCATGCAGTGCTCAGATGCATCCACAAGAGGGAAGCATAAAAATAGAAAGGATTAGCCTCTAGATATGTATGCATGCAGTGCCCAGATGCACCCACAAGAGGGGAGCATATAGATAGAAAGGATTAGCCTCTAGGTTTGTATGTATGCAGTGTTCAGATGCATCCACAAAACGGGAGCATATAGATAGAAAGGATTAGTCTCTAGATATCTATGTATGCATGCAGTGCTCAGATGCATCCATAAGAGGGGAGCATATAGATAGAAAGGATTAGCCTCTAGGTTTGTATGCATGCAGTTTTCAGATGCAGAGAGCAGTCTATTGATAGAAAGGATTAGTCTCCAGATATGTATGCATGCAGTATTCAGATGTATCCATAAGAGGGCAGCATATAGATAGAAAGGATTGGCCTCTAGGTTTGTATGCATGCAGTGCTCAGATGCTTCCACAAGAGGGCAGGATATAGATAGAAAGGATTAGCCTCCAGGTATGTATGCATGCAGTGCTCAGATGCATCCACAAGAGGGAAGCATAAAAATAGAAAGGATTAGCCTCTAGATATGTATGCATGCAGTGCCCAGATGCACCCACAAGAGGGGAGCATATAGATAGAAAGGATTAGCCTCTAGGTTTGTATGTATGCAGTGTTCAGGTGCATCCACAAAACGGGAGCATATAGATAGAAAGGATTGGCCTCTAGGTTTGTATGCATGCAGTTTTCAGATGCTTCCACAAGAGAGCAGCATAGAGATAGATAGGATTAGCCTCCAGATATGTATGCATGCAGTGCTCAGATGCATCCACAAGAGGGCAGCATGTAGATAGAAAGGATTGGCCTCTAGGTTTGTATGCATGCAGTTTTCAGATGCATCCACAAGAGGGCAGCATGTAGATAGAAAGGATTAGTCTCTAGATATGTATGCATGCAGTTTTCTGATCCATCCACAAGAGAGCAGTCTATTGATAGAAGGGATTAGTCTCTAGATATGTATGCATGCAGTGCTCAGATGCATGCACAGGGGGGAGCATACAGATAGAAAGGATTAGCCTCTAGGTTTGTATGCATGCAGTGCTCAGATGCATGCGCAAGAGGGGAGCATATAGATAGAACGGATTGGCCTCTAGGTTTGTATGCATGCAGTGCTTAGATGCATCCACAAAAGGGCAGCATGTAGATAGAAAGGATTGGCCTCTAGGTTTGTATGCATGCAGTGCTTAGATGCATCCACAAGAGAGCAGCATATAGTTAGAAAGGATTAGTCTCTAGATATGTATACATGCAGTGCTCAGATCAAACCACAAGAGGGCAGCATGTAGATAGAAAGGATTGGCCTCTAGGTTTGTATGTATACAGTGCTCAGATGCATCCACAAGAGAGCAGTGTATTGATAGAAAGGATTAGCCTCCAGATATGTATGCATGCAGTTTTCAGATGCATCCACAAGAGAGCAGCACGTAGATATATAGGATTGGTCTCTAGGTTTGTATGTATGCAGTGCTCAGATGCAGCCACAAGAGGGGAGCATATCCATAGAAAGGATTAGCCTTTAGGTTTGTATGCATGCAGTTTTCAGATGCTTCCACAAGAGAACAGCATATAGATAGAAAGGATTGATCTCTAGATATGTATGCATGCAGTGCTCAGATGCATCCACAAAAGGGGAGCATATCCATAGGAAGGATTGGCCTCCAGATATGTATGCATGCAGTGCTCAGATGCATCCACAAGAGAGGAGCATATAGACAGAAAGGATTGGCCTCTAGGTTTGTATGCATGCAGTTTTCAGATGCATCCACAAGAGAGCAGTCTATTGATAGAAAGGATTAGCCTCCAGATATGTATGCATGCAGTGCTCAGATGCATCCACAAGAGGGGAGCATATAGATAGAAAGGATTAGCCGTCAGATATGTATGCATGCAATTTTCAGATGCATCCACAAGTGGGCAGCCTACTTATAGAAATGATTAGTCTCTAGATATGTATGCATGCAGTGCTCAGATGCATCCAAGGGAGGGCATCATATAAATAGAAAGGATTAGCCTCTAGGTTTGTATGCATGCAGTGCTTATGTGCAGCCACAAGAGGGCAGCATATAGATAGAAAGGATTGGTCTCTAGTTTGTATGCATGCAGTGCTCAGATGCATCCACAAGAGGGCAGCATATAGATAGAAAGGATTGGTCTCTAGGTTTGTATGTATGCAGTGCTTAGATGCATCCACAAGAGGGGAGCATGTAGATAGAAAGGATTGGCCTGCATCCACAAGTGGG